TCCGTTCTTGGTAAAAATATCTGGCAAACTGGATTCATGACCTCTAGAAATTCAGTTTTGTAAAGAACTTCTCAATGAAAGCAACCAGTTTCCCCACCTTCCTATGACTAGTTAAATAGGAAAGAGTTGTTTGTGGCTATTTGTAAATTAGGCACTAACCCACAGTCCTCAAAGACTACTCAAAATTACAGATAGCAGCATTATTTCTAGCATTAATTGAAGTTGTACTTAATGCAGGTGACGGAAATGCTATAACTAGAAACAATATTATTGCAGAAAACTTGATGAGACAATGCACAACACATATAAAGAGTTACAAACCCAGGTGTACCATTATAGTTCATTTTGTGGTTTTAGGACCCCTTTTCTCTTTGTGAGTTCTGGCCTATAACAAATTTGATCTTTGAGGAATCCTATAGTTCAAGTAAATAATTAAAAACATGCTATTAGGTGTTAAAACAACCAAAAAAATAATTAGCATGAAAGTTAGATTTTGACATTTCTTTCATTTAATAATACAAAGTTCTTGGGGGGTCTAATTTACGAATTTCCAACAAATAGGTACCTGTCTCTTATATTTTTGTTGACTGGATCAGCCAACATTCCTATGAGGCTCTTGGGTCCTTTGATTTATAGTTTGAATGGCTTGTGCAGAAAGAAGGATAAAAGACTCGATGCAAATGATCTATTGATTGACTTCTACAAGTTAAGTGTTGAGAGCTTTTTGCACGGAATTTGTGTTCAGGAACACAATTGTTTCATTGTCAATACATACATCTATTTACGAGTTATTTTTATGTGAAAAGCTCGTAGACAATTATTTCATTATCAGTACATACATCTATTTTTATATGTAAAGCTCCTAAAATTTGCAAGTTATTTTAATAAGTATTTTATGCTCCCTTGGACTTTGCAATATTTCAATGTTATGCCTAACTTTTTAGGGCAGAGCACTGGGATAGTCTTGTAAATTATTGAAATATCGAGAAGTGGATAAGTAATGCAAAGATTGCACGTGAGAATCGCCTTTCATAAGGACAGGATGGTGAAATGAAGAAGCATACTACCGGCTCAGTTTCCTTTGTGACTTGACTACAAAGAAGAGATTGGTATGTTTATCTCATTTCATTTATATTTTTTATTTTAAAGTTCATTTATATTTTTAATTGATTGTGATTAATGAGTTGCATATTTCTAGGAGAAGGGTATGGGCCGTCCAATGTCTCAATTAGAGTTTTTCAGTCATGTCCACAAGAAGAATCACGAACTTGGCGATTTTGTTGATAAAAAATCCAAGCGAGTTTATGTAAGTACAATTTAAGTTCATGTACTTCATAGTTTGTTAATATAGTGAGTAAGATAAAATTATTTTTTACAGGATACTTATAAGGCTTCAATAGAGTCTAAGTACGGTACCATTAGAGATTATCAACCTGAGTTTGATCCCAACTCATGGATGGATGCTGTCAATGGTCCATCTAAGGGTCGTATTTATGGGATTGGTCCTCGAGAACCTGCTTCGCATATTCTTGGCACACCTACTTCACCTAGACATTCAATACTTGCACATGATGAAGAGGTGAATAATTTAAAGTTAGAGTTGGCTAGTGCACAAAATACAATAGAAGAAAACAATGAAAGAATTGATGATCTCACTCTGCGTCTTGAAAGAGTTGAAAGAAATCATAGGGTTGAGATGCAAGAAACTGTGCGAAGTATGCTTAGGGAACTAAATATTCCGAATTTTCAATTTCCTTCTAGCTCAGGATCACGAAATGATGATGTGTAAGACATGATGTTCATACAATTTTAAATCTTGATGTAATAACTTCATCTATTAAAGCTTTAGTGCATTTTGATGATTTTTGATTATTTAGTATGTTTTGATATTAATTGATTATTAATTAACCGGTTTTATAAATTTTGCATTTTGATTATTTAGTGTGCTTTGATATTAATTGATTATTAATTAGAAAGTTTTGTAAATTTATAGTAATTATTTATTAATATATAAATAAATTAAGCTTGTTGTACCAAAAAAAAATCACCAACGAAAATTCGGTTGGTAATGATAAAGTTTTTAAACTTTTACCAATGGAAATTTTGTTGGTAAAGGTAGATTTTATCAACAGATTTTTGGTTGGTAATGATACAGCTTTTTAGAGTTTTCCCAACGGCAATTCAGTTGGTAATGCTAGATATTTACCAACCGAATTTCCGATGGTAATAGTAATATTTTTACCAACGACAAATTGGTTGGTAATGACAATCTTTTTACAAACGGAATTTTTGTTGGAAAAAGGTAACGTTTTATCAACGGAAAATCCGTTGGCATTCAAAAGACCTTTACCAACGAAAAATTTGTTGGTAAAAGCTTTATTATTTTCCTACTGAAACTCCGTTGGTAACTATCAGCGACCCTCATAATAGCAACGGATTTTCGGTTGATCATTTTCCGTTGGTGAAAACTATTAGCAACGGATATTGAGGTTTTAGGAACGGAAAATCCGTGCCTGAAGTCCAGTTTTTTTGTAGTGATTAAGTTAAAATTTTGGGAGATGGTTTAAGTTGATCTCGGCTTAGGAATAGGCCTAAAAGTGTTCATTTTCAAAAGGCCAAGCCAATAGTCCATAGTACGTATCACTGGAGTTCTGCCTGTCTGCACATTTTTTGTGTACTAAAAGACAATTTCATGGCTACCTTGTACTATTTACTGTCGAACATGCAACATTTGCAATTAGATAATTGTTAAAAGAAGCAAAGTAAGCCCAAATATTAATTATTGCACATATATTTTGGTGACAATCACCCTTTGGTCGATAAACATTATAAAATGTACAAGATTAATTTAACCAAAAGATAAGAGTTGATCGAGTCATGGTTATGAGAATAATCTTAACTCCCACGATAAGCATGATTTAAGGTATGACATTTGAGTTCATTCTCCCTAGGTCGTTCCATAAGAATTTCGAAGCTAGAAGGCTTTAGTTTTTGCCGCAGAACAATAGAAGGTTAAATTGAGGTTTAGATACCAACGAGATAATGCAATGCAGCAAGACACTTAACAAAGAACTATAGAGCTAGACCAACCACAACAAATAAAAAGCAAGCATAACACCAAAATTTAATCCAACAAAGAGTTGAGCCTCAAAGTGTTTTATGATATGACTTACCCCAAAAATTTGTGGGTAATATGTACGTTTTGATCATGCAAAACATATCATAAACGTAACAATTGAATTATGTCATTGTTGTCTACTTGGTTGAAAGACATCCATCCTCTTCTACCCGTGTAATGCTGTAGTCGTTCCATTTTTAATTTGAGTTATTTTTCAATGTAATATTACATAAATGGTGTTTGATTAAAAAGTACTAAACACCCACCTTGATATGAGCTAGCGTCTTGTCAATGGATTTTTGACATTTTTAAGTTCTCAACATCCAACAAAACTGGAGTTAATTGTTTCATTGGTCATTGGACTTTAATAATGCTAAACTTCAAAACGTGCTACCCATTCATCATTCCACCTTATTTTGTTCAATTATTCTATTTGTACAGATAAGTTGATACATGCATGCACATCCCTTAATTTAAATTTCATGCATATCTCAATCCGTCTGTACAAAAATTTTGAACATGTAACAGAACTCTACTTTGTTTCACCAACTTAAGACGGCTGCTCACGTGGTAGACGAAATTCATATGTGGCCAATTATGCGGTCAAATGAAGCCTAGGCTAAATCGTGCAAGGCAAATTGCATTTTGAAAACTCATTATTGAAATCAATTTGATAGTTTTCTGTCATTTAAAATAGAATGCAAAAACCAATCCCAAACCTCATATCCCAAACCAAATCTGATGATTGAGAGTCTTGAATTTTTGTATCATCATTAATTTTACAGAAAACCCTAATGGTTTTCTTTAATCTTTGTCACTAACCATAATAGGTTATGTTTATTTAAAAACCATAATTTTTGTTCAGTCAGAATCCCCTTTTTTTGGGTCTAATTTTTAATGACGAGTTGAATTGGGGGATTTCAATTTGAAGTGATAGAAAAGGCGTCATTTTATTTTGCAAAAAAAAGGTTTCTTAAAAGGAGATTTGGGTGATAAAATAAACAACTTTGCGGGGTTGGCATCATTTGAGGGTAGTGCATGGCAATACTTAGGAATTTTGTGTCCTACGTTTGCATGACTGTAAACCTTTTGAAATGAACTCCTAACAAATGACTAACGTGAAACAAAAATTGACCTTGTGATCACTGGGAAAATTTTGAAGTTTAGTGACACTCCAATAACTTGATGGAAAGTTCAATAACCAATGAAACAATTAACTTAGAAAACTGATCCTAATCGCAAAGAGCATGTTTGGCTAAAACCTCAGCTCCTGTTTATTTGCCCTGTCCCTAGCCCGGTCACTTTAACATTAGTGTAAAAAGAATAAGGATATATATTTTAACATTTTTGAAACTTTCCATTAACTTTAAATAAAAGATATTTCTTTAAAAATCTATTTTTAAAAAAACTTAATTATTTACTCATAAGCAAACTTTTTAGGTTAGGCTAACATATCCCAAAATACATTTTTAACCATGGAAATATTTTACAAAAAATTTCCTCAATAAAACATTTTTGTGCTAGAAAATGAAATTTTTACCTTTTGAGTTTGTAAACAATGTCCTGTGTTTGGAATTTTTTTGGCAAATATACATTTCTCTCTTGAAAATATTACAAATTCTCTTTCTTTTTGCAATTTTGCATGTGAAACCATTTAAACATTTTTTTTTTGGTCATAAATTAGAATTTCTGACTCCATTTGGACACCTAGTATTCTTTCTCAACTTTGTCTAAAGGTCATTTTAATAGGATGTTACAGTATTATTTTGCAAGACTGAATGACATCCTATAAAAAAATTTTGAGTACAAATTTTGTTTTGACCAAAAAATAAAAATTTCCCTAAATTTCGTGTCATCAGTTATTCACACAATACATCATGCATGGTGAGAAATAATCCCGCCTGCGCCACTCAAGTAAACAAGTAGTTGGATCCGTAAATTCGCACTGTTTTCCGCAGCTGCTCCACTTGTCTTGTCCTAACCATGCCTTGGTATTTACAAAAGCCTTTAAAAACATTGTGTTCATAAAATAACACTCATATTCATAGTTTGATTTTTTTGAGTTTTGATTCAGATCTGAAAAGTAACAATGGGGAGAATCGACTATTTGGCTATGAAGACAGATCAAGAAACGGCGGAATTGCTCAATTCAGATTTCAATGAACTCAAGATGGCTGCCAAGAAACTTATTGATCACGCTACCAAATTGGGTGGCCTTGGCTTTGGCACTTCTTTACTCAAATGGGTTGCCTCTTTTGCTGCCATGTCAGCGTTTTATCTCATCCTTCTAACAATTTTAGTCAAATCTATCTAATTGATTTGCTCGATGACATACTTGTTGATTTCGACAATCTAGGTTCCTCTGATGTTATTATGATTGTTGGTTTGATGAGAATTACTGAATTTTGATGTTTTTATGTTCTAGTTGCGGATCCAAACCCGTAATGTGAATTGTTGTCAATTCATGCCCATATTCTTTTGATGTCTTTAAGGAAACTGGCAAAGTACATTGATGATTTCCAACGTAACTCAATCTAGGATAATATCACTCACTGTTTCCTTTAACGATATTTTATGGATTTGCAGTTATTTGTTGATCCTAGATCGAACGAATTGGAGAACAAACATGTTGACTGCACTTCTGGTTCCTTATATTTTCTTTAGTTTTCCTTCGGGATTGTTCCACTTGTTAAGGTAATGGTCTCTACCTGGACGTTCTACTTTGTCTCCTTCGACCAAAATAATTTTTTTTAGCAAGTAGTTGGCATTGCGGTGTAGGGGTGAGGTTGGAAAATGGATTGCTTTCATTGCAGTTGTACTAAGGCTTTTCTTCCCTCGACATTTCCCAGGTAAAATTGAAGTTCTATTTGTAAATGATGTATGTGACTCTGTCCATCTATTACTGTTCAAATGGTTAAGAATCGAATAAATAATTTTGTCTCCCTGATATTCCAGACTGGCTGGAGATGCCCGGTTCGTTGATTCTTCTTTTGGTTGTTGCTCCAAATTTCTTTGCTCACTCTGTGAGAGACAGCTGGGTTGGCGTCGCAATATGCCTTGCCATTGGTTGTTATCTGATGCAAGAACACATCAGAGCATCTGGTGGATTCCGCAACTCCTTCACACAAAGCAATGGCATCTCAAACACGATTGGCATTATCCTCTTGTTAGTGTATCCCATTTGGGCTCTGGTAGTCCGTGCTGTCTGAATCTTTAAGTAAAAGTATTTGCTTTTTTTTCCTATTTGTTGGTTCCTTGGGTTGTAAAACTGAATGTAGCCAAAATATTCATTCGATGTGACTTTCACTTGTTATTCTCAAGAAGCTTATGATTCTGCTTTGGATAATTATCAATTCTTTGGAACTTCTTCTAGTGATCATCTTTATATTGAAGGGATTTTGCCTTTTAAGATTTCTTTCAATTTCATCAAGTAATTTCGGGGAATTTGATATCCTTTCTTGAATGCGTGCTACACTGATGGCATGAATTGGGGTATGTCTCCTGCTACTCACGAGCAATCCATGGACAGCAACATATCCCAAAATGAGGTTTTCGGTGATAGAAGGGATAAATTTGCGGCAAGTTCTTCCCGATGTGTTTCAAATTTAAGTCGGGGAATGATTTAAAATGTTTCTTTAGTGCCTATTTTTGCCTATTTGCTATAATTCTCTCAAACTTATAAGTTGGTCAAAAAAATCATTTTTATTTATGCATTTTGTAAGACCTACAACTTTTATTCACATTTTGTGGGAGGCGCAACTTATAATCTCCAAAAAAATTTATCAAACACACTCTTGATACCACTTAGAAGAACTTTGAAACAAAGCACAAATACCTGGACCAATAGGGATTCTAATTCTTGTCTAGGGATTACCTAAATGAAGAAATATGCGAGTTCGTCACTAAGCAATGACTCCTAAGAAGTTTGACTTTCTTGGACTAATTGTTATCGTGATAATATTCAGGAAAATACTATGCGTACACAATGGTGTACGCACAACATTATTCCAAGCATTTCCTAATATTCAATGTAATTATTTATAGAAGGAACTCGTCAGTAGCAAAATTCAACCCTGTGAGGCCTATAGATTGTCGAGCAAATGATACCAAAGATTTAGAACAAGGAATCTTGACCACATATCAATCTATCTTGCCGGATTACTCAAATGGAATTAACCCTCATTTTCTTTGTCTTTAATTTATTTATTTTTTCCATTATGATTGAAGTAGCTGTCCATCAGTGTCCTGCCCAGATAGCACAAATGAAAATCTTTATCCAGAATAGCAGGATTGCCACGTGGCAAGTTAGAAAGCCACACACACTAACTCAGAGCAACTACCCTTATCCTATATCTTATCCTACACACATCTAAGCCACTAAATTTATTTGTCCATACAAACAACTTCTGATTACTACTACTACTACTACTTTGTAATAAGCATAGACACAGAGTAAGATAGTGATCAGAAACAAAATGGCCACCTCATTACAAGCAGCTGCTACTCTGATGCAACCAACCAAGATTGGTGTCTCAGCCAGAAATAGCCTACAGTTGAGATCTGTTCAAAGCCTCGGCAAGGCCTTCGGTGTTGAACCGGCTGGATCGAGGGTCACCTGCTCTCTTCAAGCTGATCTAAAGGACTTTGCTCAAAAGTGCACTGATGCTGCCAAGATTGCTGGTTTTGCTCTAGCGACTTCTGCACTCGTTGTCTCGGTATGTAACTTTTAGTCTCTCTCCGAGATTCTTATATCTGTACCTTTATAAAGATCATTCTAACACATTAATGGCATGTTTGATGAGGTGACCTTGTAATGTCTATTGTATTGTATACTCCATTTATAAGATAGATGCACGTAATATCAATTGTGTACTCTCGACCAAAGAAGAACTGTATTCCATTGGACATCTGATAATTTAACAAATCAAAACCAGGTAAAAGTTTTTCTATTGTGCTTATGATCTAGAATACTACAAGAAGAGAGAACATTTTGGTAATGGGGGCCTCAAGCAAATTCTATTGGATCTCTGGCTTATTTCAATCAGTAATAAGCCTGTCAACACCATGTTTCTTCCGAAAATTTTAGTGAAGTCTGACTTAAAAAATATTATAATGCAAAACATTATGATTTAGGCAGACGGCAACGAATATATTTTCATTGCAATGGGGAAAGTTTTAAAATACCCTTGTTGGTCTTACAGGGAGCAAATGCTGAAGGAGCTCCAAAACGGCTGACCTACGATGAAATTCAAAGCAAGACATACCTAGAAGTGAAGGGAACTGGGACTGCTAACCAGTGCCCAACAATTGATGGTGGTGTTGACAGCTTTGCCTTCAAGCCAGGCAAATACAATACCAAGAAGTTATGCCTGGAACCCACTTCATTTACTGTGAAGGCAGAGGGTGTGAACAAGAACGCACCCCCTGAATTCCAGAATACAAAGCTCATGACCCGTTTAACCTACACCCTTGACGAGATTGAGGGACCCTTTGAGGTATCTCCGGATGGCACTGTCAAGTTTGAGGAGAAGGATGGAATTGACTATGCTGCCGTTACAGTGCAGCTTCCTGGTGGTGAGCGTGTGCCCTTCCTCTTCACCATCAAACAACTTGTAGCATCTGGCAAACCAGATAGCTTCAGTGGAGAGTTCCTTGTGCCATCATACAGGGGTTCATCCTTCCTCGACCCAAAGGGAAGGGGTGGATCTACAGGTTATGACAATGCAGTTGCATTGCCAGCTGGTGGAAGAGGAGATGAGGAGGAGCTTGAGAAAGAGAACATAAAGAATGTTTCATCTTCAAAAGGAAAGATCACCTTGAGTGTTACCAAAAGCAAGCCCGAGACAGGGGAGGTGATTGGTGTATTTGAAAGTATTCAGCCATCTGATACTGATTTGGGGTCAAAAGCCCCCAAGGAAGTGAAAATTCAAGGAGTCTGGTATGCCCAGCTTGACTAATAGCGTTCTAGCATCAATGTACTAATACTTGCTTCGAATTTTTTTGTAATTGAACGGTTCATAGAACTGCGCATTGCGAAATTGGAGAAGCATCAGACTATTATCTTGCTTGTATATTATTCTGGTTTTTTGTGATCATTCTGTGAAATGATTAATCAACGAAAGCTTCAGAAAAGTTTTCTTCATACCATCAATGTAAACCTGATGGAAATGGTACGAGATTGCACATTACCAATATGTTTTACTTGGCAAGATAAAACATATCATGTTGGAAGTAGGAATTTGGATGGAATAAATATATTTTTCATGGAAAATATTGGCAATCAAACACACCCTTAAATCTTTTAAACAGGGCAAATAAAATGCATAGCATGTTATTTTATAATCTTAGCATCTGAATCACAAGAGATGAATGATGGGTTTCAGTAAGATCAAAGTTCATATATCTGGATGGCATTTGTAGACGGGGCAACTTTTAAAATGGCGGGATAATTGATCCAATTTTCCACAATGGCCTTTTTTATTATAAATACTATTTTACCCTTACTATAATTATTTGCAAGATGTATCTTATATCTTTGAGGATTTATTAATCAGGACCTATATCTATATTTTTCAATCTTTCAAATACTTTTAAATATTCTTTATATTTTAGTACTTCAAAGATCCTAGACTGACCTTTCTTGGTTATATATCTTCGAACTAATTTTTCTAAAATTTTTTCTTGTATATCTCTATATTTAGTTATAATATCCTCTACCTTTGTTATTTCTCTACTCGTTCTTACAGAATCAAATCATATATTATTTTTTCAATCATAATCTATATCTTTATATAATTCTTCAATTTTTTCTTTGCCAACAAGAAATATATCTTTAGATTTTTCAGCTAATTTAAATAAAAACGAAACATCTTTTTCATCTAAAAATAATATGAGATTATTATCATTATTAAAAGTGGATGTGGATGCTTGTGAATTGTTCATCAGAATAATTAAAGCATAAGCATGCAAGAATAAGTAAATAACTTATAGTAATCAGATGGAAGTAAACAGGCTTTCCCTCCAGTATGATCTTATAGATGCTTTGCATGTACTTAATCAATTTTCTGAATCAAGTAAAGATTTAAAATGTTTTTGAAATCATTTGGGTCCACAACTGCTTCCGCAAAAAAACTTTTCAATTAAGGTTGCATTTCTCATTCTAGAGAACTAGCCGTGTTTCCACAGACGCTATCTCACAGTATGCAGAGTCTCTGTTTTCACCTCTATCCAAACTCTTTTCAGAATCAAGTTCCTACTCGGAACGAAATTTTAAAAAATAACTCACACACAAGGTCCTACAATTTTGTTAAAAAACTGTCTTTTTCCCTAAACCATTCATCAAAGACGGGTACTTTGGCATGGCTAACATCCATTCAAAATCAATATTTTGAAAATCTTTTAAAATCTTTATCTGTACTGCCGAGGAATCATGAGAAACTTAACGAAATCCTTTTATGAAAGTTTTGTTGAATATAACAAACTTTACTTTGATATTCATAAACTGAAATAGTACATGCTTATAATTTATATTTACATACCTTTGGTACTCACCTTATGAAGTTTAGAACTCCATAAGTGATTACCTTATTACAAACTTTGCTATCTTCAAGCTATTTAATATTTTTCTGAATACAAGTGGTGTATACAGATTACGAAGGATATCTCTCTAAGATGTGTTTATTCAGAGTGTTTAAGAGATATGTTGTTTCGAGATGTCCTCCTTCTTCCTCCTCGCCTCTTTTTATAAAAACTTTTGGGAATCTTATCTTGACAGGTGTTTTTCACCTTTCATTGTTAAGTAGCTAGGCCATCTTATTTCCACCGAATTTTTCATTATCTTCTTGCTAGGTGGACCTCTCCTTTTGAAATTATATGCCTTATCTTTTGAGTTTGTCTGCCACTTGTGACAACTGGTAGGGAGTAGTTACAATTATGGAGACTTTTCTTGTACTATCTTCTGTTTTTTAGTATCTACTGTTTTTCTTTAATAAATTTCTTTATTAAAGTAGTGATAAAAGGCTACTTTTGTCACCATCATTTTTCCATTCTTGAATCAAAGAATTCTGCAGGGAATTCTTCACTATTAAGATATGCTTGACTCATATCTTCAACTACACAGTATTCAAAATGGTGATCACTGTAGTTCCAGAGTAATTTGCATAGTTCTTTAGCCATATCTTCTGATCCATGCACTTGGTTAGAAATAATTGTAGATAATAAATGGTCGAGATAACAAATATCTTCTTCCTTGGTGGCCATACTTGCATTGGAATAGATAATATGATCTTCAGATGGATAAACCCATATTTTTTCTTTCTCAGTAATTATCTGAGTTACATGTTCAAATATCTCTTTGTACCATTTTGTTCTTCTGTAAGGCATCATATTTAGAATATCTTGATATCCATTTTTAACAACATTTTGATTGGTTGGTAAAAAATGTTGATTTGTAAGTCCCATTTTTATTACATAGAACGATGGATGCATATATTCAAGAACGAGATCCATTCCACAGTTGCTGAATGGAATCTGATATATATATTTGTTGTCTTGACAAGTTCAGTATATCTTTTAACAGCTTTCCTGATGTTGGCTGGAAGCTGAGTTATTTCTTTGAGATCTTTGCTAGGATATATACAAAGTATATTTCCTATCTCAAAACAATTTCGTATCCAATTGGTTGGTGCTCCTGGATAAAAATTTATCTTGTTGTATTTTGAATAGTGGAGAGTCTTCATCCACTTCCCAATCTCCAGATACCAATCTGATAAAATATTGAAAATAACAATAAAGAGTATTACTTCTTCATGGTTATCTTTTCTGGAAATTTTTGCTTCATGGCATATCTTGACAATATCTTTTGGATCTATCCTTTCAATAAAAAGTTTAGATTGAGTTTGGCTCTGTGAAGAGCTACCTTTTTTTTTGATATTTTGAATATCTTTATTACTAGTAATAGGTTCAATTTTTCCCTATGAAGGGGTTCCTATTACCTTCTTTTCTTTCCCTTTATCCTCGGAGAGAGCATTAGTATTCACAAGTCCCTGCGAAGGGATACTAGATTTGGTACAAGTAACTTCTGCCTCAAGGGCTATATTTTTACCTCGAAGGCTATCTTGGATATTTTGAATTTGTGTTTCCAAATAGGAAACTTTTATCTCAAATATTTGGACTTTCGCCCCTAATTGTTCTAACTCCATCCCTGCTAAGATAATCAGAAAGAAAGTTAGTTTTACCTTTTATGTATTCAATATCAAATTTGAAATATGATAACCAAATTTGTATCCTAATAATATATCTATTGGTAATAGATGGATCAACATTATTTTTCAGAAAGACTTTAACTTGAGTATTATCAGTTTTAATCAAGAACTTCTTTGATAACAAATAATCTTCATATTTTTGAACTCCTCTTTTTACAGCAATGAGTTCTTTTCTATTCGTCTTATATCTTGTTTCAATTTTTTTGAACGTTCTTGATGTATAACATGCAAGTATCTCAGGACAAGAATAATTCTTTTCACATTTATATTCTTTATGATTCTTTTTAACCTTTAATGCTGCTCTCCAGTAATAATCTGAAACATCAGTTTCAAGGATAAAGAAATATTCTACTTGTGGTATTACAAGTTTGGGCAATACCTTTAATTCTCTTTTACTTTCCTTATATTTTCACAATCTTGTTCTTCCCAAGACCACATTATATTTTTCCTTAATTTTGGAAGAAAATAATTTTTCAATTTGGCACAATTTTCAATGAATCTTTCAGCATAATTCAATATACCAAGGAAGCTTTGTAATTGTTTTTTATCTTTGATTTCTTTAGGAAATTTTTGAAACTTTTCTCCAATATGATATTGCAATTGCAATTCTCCTTTTTTTTTTTATAAATAATCCTAAAAATTCCATTTCTGTTCTAGCTATCTCAGCTTTCTTTTAAGAATGTGTAATACCATATTTTTTCATAATATAACAAAATTTCTCAAGATGTTCAATATGTTCATCAATATTATTTGAATGAATAAGTAAATCATCTACATATGCAATACAGAAATGAGTAATTGGTTTGATTACCTCATTCATTCTTCTTTGGAATATTTGTGGTGCATTTTTCAACCCAAATGGCATTACATTTCATTCGTATTGTCCTAAAGGATTGGGGGTACTAAATGCAGTTAATGATTTACTTTCTTCTGTAAGCATGATTTGCCAAAACCCTAACTTACAATCAAATTTTGAAAATATCTTTTTGTTCTGTACTTATTTAATAAGGGTGTCCTTATTTGGCAAGTAGTATCCATCAAATTTAGTAACTTCATTTAATTTTTTGTAATTTATCACCATTCTGGCTTTTCCTCTTTTTATCTCACTATGTTTTCTAACCATAAAGGCTGTGCTGCTATGTGGACTTTTACTAGGTCTGATTAATTTGGCTTCTCGCAATTCTTTTATCTGGTCTTTAAATTCCTTTTGGTCATCTACACTCTATTTCATGAGTTTGACTCTAACAATAGTGTCTGGATTGGTTAATTCTATCTTTGCCTTTGCTTTATCTGTATTCCATTTTTCTAATGGATTTTCAGAATATGTTTTAGAAATTTCTTTTTTCAGTTTTTCTAACCTATTTTCTGTTGTCATTTTTAAGACTGTAATTGGTTTAAATTTTTCTATACTTCAACATCCACCATGCTGGGTTGAGGAACTCAGATAGTTTATATCTGTATATGCTATTGTGACAGCCTTGTTTATTTTTGGTGTAAATATTTTGTATGCACAAGGAGTTGTGAACATATAATTATCAATATATTGTGTAAATGGAGCATATTGTAATAGGAAATTTTGTCCTAATAAAATATCACATCCAATTGTAGTTGACATATATATTGTATCAACAAATACTTCTCTAAAGGAAATTAGAAAGGGTACTTGTGTAGCATATTTGCTGTATATTACCTTATTTCCACCTGCTGTCGTAGCGGTGACTATCTTCTTTGAATTGTATATCCAATTTTCGGATGGTAGTACATTTGGTAAGTATAAACTTATTGTACTTCCTGTATCTAAGTAAGCATGAAATTTAACTCTACAATAGCTTTTATATTAAGTGCAATTTCAATATATGGACTCATGGGGTTAGTACTT